AATTCCATAAATGTGTTCTTAGGCTTTGTTTTATTCTATTTATAAATTTAATGAATGTTCATTTTAGAAAATTGGAAATACAAAAAATGGTAATTTTAAAAATTAAACCACTCAAAATTCTAACCGTAAATATCACAGTCGACATTTGGGTGATTTTTCTGTTTTTCTTTCTCTGTGTGTGGTGTATCATTGGGAACCTATAATGTATACAGGTTTGCTTTCTGCTTTTTCCATTTCACTAAATATTCTTTGAAGGCATGACTTTTAAAACTACATGAGAGTCCAGTTTAGAAATATGGCATAATTTATGTAACTATTTGTGAAACACTTGATTTTTTTTCAAAGAACATTAAATTTTAGATGATTATGTAAAATAATCTTAATGATACTTAGAGTTCTACTTAAAATGTGGTTTCAACTTTCAGTTCCCAGATTGACCTGATTTCTGTTCGTTTTCTGAAAAATACAACCTACACCTTATTTTATACCTTTTTAGATAATATTATGGAAAAGATGTTGAAACCTGTAATTCTTGCATTTTAAAACATAGGAGAGTGACTGCTAACGTAGCTTTGTATAAATGATCCCCTGTTAAACTTGAGAATTTTTTTTTAAGCATTTTGAGTTGTTTTTCATATGATAGCTAATGAATTCAGCACGACTTCTCCAACCCCAACCTTTTTCTCCTGTTTAGCATTTTCCACTTTTTTACTCTGTGATGAACAAGCCCTCCCTGGTTAATTATGTATATATTTAGCTACTGCATGTGTTGGGCTTATTATTGTCATCTAATTAGATGTAACTTGAACTGCTTGCTTCTAGAAAAATCATTAAAAATTCTTTCCTAATGACCTAGAGATGACAAAATGTCTGTAAAGTGTGAAGAAGCAGACAAGCACAGGAACATCGCTCTTAAAGAGTGTTAATCCAGATGCTGCAATCATCTAATTAAACAATATTTTGCTGTCATTAACATTTTCACCAAGGAATTGCAGTTATAATTTCTTTGTCAGCTGTCTCTAGATCACTTTACCTTCAAAACCAAAGTGCCATATAAAAACATTAAATTGGATGGTTTAATTAAAAAGTTTTTTTTTAATGAAGAAACATATCCAGTGATTCTGAGATCTCATTTACTGTGTTTCACTTTTATTATTTGAGTAGATTAGTGTCATAGGCTTGCAGTATTTAATATTCATCTTCTAAGATAAATTCTTATAAGCATAGTTAGCAAAATAAAGTGTACATATATATTTATATGTATACACATATACATACACATATATATACACACACACAAATATATATATATATACTTACCACTGCTGGAGAAGGAAAGGACCCTACCAATTATAGCACCAGTGTATTTACTAAATATCAACTATCCTAAAGAAAAAATAAAACAATTAGTAAATAAATATCTAGGTATGCCAGAGCCTAACAAGTATTACTTTGGAAATATCTCACTTTTTGGATGATTTAATGAACAGTATTTTTTTTTTCATTTCACAAAGATGTTCAGTAAAGTAATTAAAGGAGTAATGCTAATTCATGATTAAAACATATCAATGCAAAACCCCAAAGTGCCACTTAGTCACTCTTTTTTTTCCATGTAACATTAAATACATTGTGCATTTTTAATTAAAATCAAATACATATATGACTGTCCATTTTGATAGGCTCTTATGCAGAAATTGTTATTAAAAATAAGCATTAATGTCATATTTATTTATAAAGTTTATTATATTTATTAGAATTAAAATAGTGCTATAAACCTCTGCTAATTTAAAAATTACTAAAATTTTCTTCTTAGCACTTATTTTCAAAGGACCACTCAAAGATTATTTAAAGTGAATTGCAAAAAACAAAATGCAGGACAGAATAATAGACATGAAATATGGTTACTGGCATCATTCGTTTTATGTATACGTGTGTGTGCATTTTTAAATAATGCTTTTCTTCTTTGTATTTCTTTCTAAAAATAGCATTATATCTTTTTTTAACTTTTATTTTAGGTTCAGGCGGTACATGTGCAGATTTGTTATGGGGTAAATTACATGTCACGTGTGTTTGATATACAGATTACTTTGTCATCCAGGTGATAAGCATAGTACCCAATAGGTAGTTTTTGGATCCTCACCTTCCTCCTTCCCTCTACCCTCAAGCAGTATCCTTTTCTTTCTTAGAAAATCATTTCTATTAAAAGGCCAGGGTCTTCAAATATGGTCTATATTTTTATGCTATTTGCATTTATACAGTACATTTAAATACTGTGTTTATGTAAATTGGCTTTTTATTTTAACAGTTTTCCTTAATATGTAAGTTGTAAAACTTCATCAGAAATTATTTTAACAATTGTGGTATCTGATTTTCATCTATCAATTAATTTATTTAAGTAATATATGTTATATCTAGATAGGTAACATCAGCATTATTCTGTTAAAAAATACACACTGCAATACTTGCTTTTCATTAAAATCTCCAGATTTTTAAGTAGAACAATTCCCCTCAGAAAATGGAAGAGCTCTAAGCTCTGCCATGGACCCATTTAGGATCCCAGAAGTAGCTCTGTCTAGTCAATCTGTACTCTTTGTATATATACATATATAAAAAAAAAAATGAGCCCAATCAGGTGTCCTAGGTTAGCATACATATGAACTATTGGTAATAAATTTTCAAGTTTAGAATTTTACACCTTTTATTTTACAATATTGGTACTGTTTTAGCAGATTATTGTCATGTACCAAAGACTTTAATATGGCTCCAAACTCTCATTTAATCTCATTATTATTCTTCACCATAGACTTAAATACAAGCAGGTTCATCGATTGCTTGAGCTACCTAGCTGCAGACATTTTCTTCTAGTTTAATGTAGACATTCACAGTATCATTCTCTCTCATATATACCTCTATGCCTTTGCATAATCCTCATCTTCTAAAGATAATGTTCTGCAGTTTTCCTTTACTTGACTTACATTTGTTCATCTTCTGAAATTTGGATCATTTTATTCAATTTTTATCACATGCATATCCATTCCATCAACAAACATTTATTGGGCAGATGGTATGTGCCAACACAGAGAGATTACAAAAACAAACAAACAGCCCAGCCCTGACATTTATGAGTTTACAGACTGGTGGAGAGGCAGAGAAGTAAACGGTGATGTGTATCAGGTATAATAGAGGTCTGTATGAGAACTGTGGTGGGGCAACACAGGGGAAGCCCTAACCTAGCTGTAACCTCATCCCAGTAAATGCAAAGTGGAAGCAGTATTCTGCTGCCATTATCCACACCTATATTACATACTTACAGCAGTTTATACACTTAAAGCAATATGCAGTTTAGTTGTAAAATGCAGAGCTTCATATAATAAACAGATAAAATAGTCATCAATAAAATGTTTTCTAAATGTATTAATTAATTTGGTTTGGTGCTTACAATTGCAGATTTTAGTTCTTACTCAGATTGTAGTTCTTTTTTTTTATATTTCACAGTTATGTTTTCCAACTGCTATAAGAGCAGATATCATTTAATGTAATTTCCTGATGATGAACAAGATAATACCTGCATATCTATATTACTGTGATAGTACATGTGGTGTGTGCAACCACGGCATACTGGATGAAATTCATATCACTAAATACCAGTGAAATAGCTGTTTTGTGTGAATTTTAATGGAAATTTAGAAAATTACTGATAATTGGATCATAACACATTTTTATAAAAAATAATTTTGTTCAACAAAAGTTTTCTTAGGATCCTGTTTCTTTGATAGCCATTCTTTTAATTTCACCTGATCCTATGTTTTTTCAGTTCCAGTTTATGAGGGGGGGCACAGCTTGCTCCCCTAAACTTTCCACATTCCCAGTGTACCTCAATATCATACCTGAAGTGTTTAAGACAGTCTACCAAAACATAAACAGACATACTCACCCTAAGATCCAGCAGTTCTTCACTAAGGTGAAACAATGTAAGATAAAAAAAAAAAAATCATGAACTTAAGGAGTGAAAAAATGTATGGTTGACATCTGCCTCTGTACTTTTTCATCCTAGCTTCAGAGTACTTCTGTCCACTTGCAAATTCTCTGCATTCATTCTTGATATAAGCTTAACATAGTATTCTGTGTACTCATAATATAATTTCTCGATATATATTCATTATAATAGAATACCATCACAGCCGGGCGTAGTGGCTCAGGCCTGTAATCCCAGCACTTTTGGAGGCTGAGGCGGGCAGATCACGAGGTCAGGAGTTTGAGACCAGCCTGGCCAACATGGTGAAACCCCATCTCTACTAAAAATACAAAAATTAGCCAGGTGTGGTGGCATGTGCCTATAATCCCAGCTACTCCGGAGGCTGAGGCAGGAGAATCGCTTGAACCCAGGAGGCAGAGATTGCAGTGAGCCAAGATCGCACCACTGCACTCCAGCCTGGATGACAGAGCGAGACTCCATCTCAAAAAAAATAAAAAATAATTAAAAGATAAAATAGAATACCGTCACCTAAGCTGCAAATGTGCAGGTCATTGGGGTGACTTCCTCCATAATTACTTTCAGGGCCTCTAACTGACAAGGCTCTGCTTCCAGGGTTGCAATATTATCTACATCAGCAGAAGAGAGATGAGACACACATGCAGGAAGTTTCAGTGGGCCAAGCCTTGAAGAGACTTTGCTCACATTCTGTAGATTAGAACTAAATCCCGTGGCCATAGCTCCTTGTAAGGGAGGCTGAGAAATGTGGTGTAGCACAGAAAGAGGAGAATCAATTACAATAACCAGCCAGTAGTCTCTATCACAATCTTATAAATAGTAATTCTGGTTATGTTTTAAAACAATTGAATGAATTCACTTGAAAAGCATTGTTATCAGAGTTAAAGGTATGGTTCAATAAATAAAAAGTTACTTTTCTTCTGAAATTCAATAGATGCTTTGTAAGAACAGAAACTATTTCATAAGCATTTTGTGTATACAAATTTTTATTTCTGTTTTTCTTTACTAGGACGGACATATAATGATCTGAACCAATATCCAGTATTTCCGTGGGTGTTAACCAACTATGAATCAGAAGAATTGGACCTGACTCTTCCAGGAAACTTCAGGGATCTATCAAAGGTAACTTTTAAACATATAGAAGTCAGCTTTCTTCGTAAGGCTGTAGTCTAATAGTATTTCTGTCAGAGTATAAATAGCCAGTTAATGTTTGTAAGAAAGTGAAACTGGTTATCCTGACTTACACAGTCAGTTTCTAAATCTTACCAATTCTTAGCACAGGAATTAAGCTACAAGAAGATAAACTAGTACTAGCACAGGCAAAATGAAATGGGTATTTGAGAAATAGCACATGTAGGGAGAGGTTTCTCATATATCCTAGGCTTTAAAGTCTAGGTTTAAAACCTAAAATTAGTAGAAAATATGATGGCAAATCATTTATGTGATACATTCCTTAGATGATAAGGCATGTTATATTGACCATAAAATACACACATTGTAGGGAAATATAATACTGAAAAGAAAGTCAGTTTAGTTTATCAAGTGTCTATCTATATATGAGAGAGAAGATATGGTCCAAAAGATGGCAAGAAAATGGTGCATAACGGTAATAAGAAATAAAAGGCAAAATTTTTATTAGCTTACCTCGTTTATCCAGAGGAAACTACAGTGTGATACTGAACTGTTGGAAATTCAGTGAAGAACTGGGAACTAAGCCCAAAAAGCTGCTCTATAGTCTAAGCTTACGCCAGAGGCTTGCCTTAAAGTTCATGTGTGTTAGCCGTAGTAAAGTCTCAGCCCATTGACTTTGAATGTATCTCTCTTTTCTATAAGACTTGATTGTCTGATTTAGCAATCCACAGAAAGTTGAAAGGTATTTGTGTATACATTTGGTTTTGGGGGGCAGGTCTAAGGGGCTAATGGACAAGAGCAGCATAAGCTCTGTGAATTAGGGAAACGCCATTACCGCCGATTTAAAATGAATCCCACAGATGGTTTTTAACTCAGCATGCCTGCGCCTGCGCCTTTTCTGGCCTTTGAAAGCTAGACTGTTAAACTTGGTCTTTGACAAAATCTTGTCTGCATGTATTTTATTTAACATTAATTGAATAATCATTACTTAGACATTATAAAATATATATACGATACAAATTCAGAGTATAGATTATCAGGTAGCATATTAAAACCTCATATGATGACTACTATTATGTCTATTGTATTATTTTTAAAACAAGGAAGGAAGTTCTTTTTCTTCGAAATCAACTGGGATATTGTGTTTAAAGGAAACTTACGGACTGAAGCTCCTTTTTTCTCTCCATCTATTTATTCATTCTTTCAGTTGTTCAGTCAACAAATATTTATCACACATGTACTATATGTCAAACACTCTACAAGTGAAAGAGTGTACAGGAGTGAATAAAGCAGACATATTCCCAGCCACTTGGAGGGAGTTCAGCCCAGAGCAAAAATGAAAACTCAGATAGTTAACAGCAATATGAGAGGCCAGCATTTACGAGATAGGTTTAGTGGGGACTGTGCCTCACTGGGGAGTACAGGCTCAGCCTCGCTAAGACATTTGGACTTGAATGTTCTTGAAACCTAGCCCAGCCAAAGAAAATGTGGCACTCATTATGATTAGTATGGTTTATAGAAGGCATCTATTTACCACATATTTGCTGGTAATCATAGATTTTTTCCATTTATCCATGTAGGAAAAAATGAGTTAAAATAAATGAGGAAGTCACTGTTTCTACAGTAACTGAAGATACAAACATTTCAAGGTTCTTTTTTTGTTTTTTGTTTTTTGTTTTAGATGGAGTCTCGCTCTGTCGCCCAGGCTGGAGTGCAGTGGTGCGATCTCGGCTCACTGCAGCCTCCACCTCCTGGGTTCAAGCGATTCTTCTGCCTCAGCCTCATGAGTAGCTGAGATTACAAGCTCCTACCACCACACCTAGCTAATTTTTTTGTATTTTTAGTACAGACGGGGCTTCACTATGTTGGCCAGGCTGGTCTTGAACTCCTGACCTCATGATCCACCCGCCTCTGTGTCCCAAAGTGCTGGGATTACAGGCATGAGCCACCACGCCCAGCCCAGCCCACTTCAGGGTTTTTGTGCTAACCTGTGTAATGTGTATTTCCTTTGGCAGAGCTTTTCCTTTTGTGCCTCACATGTGCTCCTCTAATTTTATATAGTGTCAAGTAAATAATACAGGTAAACAGATGGAGCCTAAATAAATTAGGCAATATGACTAGAAACTGTCGTTTTGCAAGCATGTAGTTCTTCATGCTGTGAACAGTGGAATCCATGAGCACTTAAAAGGTAGATAGCTTTTCTTCAAATTTTACTATATTCCATGCTTTAGCAATTTCTTCTTTCTATTCTGTCACCCTAGCGTGATAGGAAAATGTTAGCAAATTAAAGCCTGTTGATATGTTAATAAATTACTTGTGCATTGTTCCCATGCTTCATTGAATTTCTTAATAGGAGCTTCTTACAAATGGGCTAGAAACCTGAGACTATCCTGTGTAAAATCCATCAATAAACAAGATTTTAATGTATGAAAAAATATCTTATTATATGCCTAATGGGAAAATGACATTTGAAGTATAATAATATAATTGGAAGGAAAAACTACTATAGTGCAATATTATCACAATGAAGAGATGTCCACTAAGAAGCACATGAAATTCTTGTAGTTATAATCAATACTACAAATGAAAATATTAATGGAGAGTTTTACTCTTCAGAAGCTCAAGGAAGAATTGAAATACTTGAATGATATAACCAAAAGCATTCTAAAAGATCTCTAACAACAAGAGTAGTTGTTTCTAAACAAACACTGGGAGTCCTGATCCCAGTAATAATTCTTAGCAGTGAATAATTCTAGAATTTGTTTCAATAAACATGTGGTACCCCAAATAATTTCTATATTCTTTACTATATGAAAGAATTAAGAAACTATGAAATGTACAATGCCAAAAAAATAAATATTTATTTTCTTTCTTTATACCACCACATTACACAGGCTTCATGAAATTCTGTGTTGTATCAGTTGGGAAACTTTTGAATGAAAGTTTCAGAAAACACAGCTGAAATTGGCTTGAACAATAATGGGAATTGGGAAAAAAAATCAAGAGGTTGTAACTGGAACATGAAAAAAATGTAGGCTTCGCTCAAATACTTGTTTCTCTGTCACCTATTGTGCAAACTTAAGATGTTTTCTAAATTCTCTGAACTTGTTTGCTCATCTTTAAAATGAACACAATCATACTTACATAATAGTGTTGTTAAAAGATTTTAACACCGTAAAGTAGTTAAGGCACCTAGTATAATGCCTGACACACAAGTGGCATTCAGTGAGTGGCAGTGACACAGCAAATTTCCATGATTGTTAGTTGAGAGTTCACTATCTTTGGTATGATTGACAAAAACCTGGTGAACGTTTGTTTGATTCCTGTGATTTATTTTTTATTCTAATAAAATTAAAAAGTAATGGCATTTAATAAAATATTTTGAATTCAATAAATAATTCTGTTTTATCATCTATTTGAGTTATCAAATTATCAAAACTGTAACATCAAAACACTAAGGTTATATTAAATGTTTATTAGAACTTTAGATGCACATTTATTTAGACTGAAATATTTTATATTTATAATATTCTTACTTCTTCTTTGGCCCACTTAATTGAACACTTGGAGAGCACAGGAGCAAAAAAAAAAAGTTCTTTATCAGTAAGATTTTTTTAGACCTCTCATTTTATTAGACATCATAGGTTCAAGTTTTATTTATTATGTGTACAGGTTAGAGGCTATGTTTGTTGTTTTACATGAGGGACAGCAGATGAAATAATCTGCCTTTGACCTATCTTTTCAACACTAACCAACAGTAGGTTTAGAGATTTCCTCCCCACTCGATTTATATAGATATTCCTTATGGAGATGTAACCTTATGGTGAAATCTATCTTACAACATGATATATGCTAGTGTTTCAGTTATTTACAGATACTCATATGAACTCGACTCTTAAAGTATAGTGGTTACATGACTTTGACGTGAAGCACAGTCTTCTGCTCATTAAAGTGTAAAAAGAATTTTCCTATTTCCCAGTCATGCCCTCTGATAAGTGAAATAGTTTCATCACAAAACCAAGTCCTACTAATATTGACATGAACATAAGACATCACATGCACACACCCATTCATCGAGTGGAAAAAATAGATTTTGTTAACACAGGAGTTGTTTGACTGACAGATGATGATAAGCATAACCATTTTCCCAAATTATTATGCCACTTAATAAAAGGAGGTGATAATGCCTTGAGGCTTTGAAATGTGATAATGCAAATGGATGCACTGAAGTGTGAATACTCTTCAACCATCCACCCTCGATACTGCCAAATGTCTATCTACCACATAGAAAAGAGTTTATATTGGTAAGGTGGGGAATCCACGACTCAGCAATCTAGAGCAAGTTCGTTTGTTTTGTTGTTGTTGTGGTTGTCGTTTTTGAGATGGAGTCTCCCTCTGTCACCCAGGCTGGAGTGCAGTGGCACAATCTTGGCTCACTGCAGTCTCCACTAGAGCAAGTTTCTATGGTTATTTTGTCCTTCTTTTTCACCATAAGTTAACAACATCTGAAATGAAATTAATTCCATTTACTTGATCATAATCTACCTAATGCTTAATTTTAAACAACAAAACAGGAAGTATGGGCAAAATACTAGGTGTGTTAGTAGTAGTTAGGATGATATAAAATAAAAGATAGAAGTGTGAATGTGTAAATTTAATTATATACTATCTGCCAAATAACTCTGCTGCCAAATTTGAAATATTTGTTTCAATGTATGTTGAATGCTGCCTTAACATATAACCCACAGTATGTTGAAAATTGTTTTCATTAGACTTGCTTATATGGCAGTGCTGAGGGACAAGGTATTGATTGGCAGTGTTTGGATACTGTTTTAAACTCATGGGATATTCGTTTATTTAAATTAATACTTTTATTCATTCATTCTTTCTTTCATTACACAAGCATTTATTGCCAACCTACTCTGTGCCAGACACTGGAGATACAAAGGCAATAAGACTTAGTCCATACCTTTAAGAAGTTACAGTCATTT